GGGGGGGGGGGGGGAGGAGGCTACTGCAACAAAAACCAGAAAATCGAGCCTCGAGTACAATTTAAACTAGGCTATCAAAATTCAATTTATATCTTCCAAAGTTCACAGTACACCTAAATTGTTCCATGCACCAAATCAATTCTATGCAAGTTGTTTTGTACTATATAAAAACTCTGTTGTTATACACAGCCAGACAAGTTTATACTGATATCTCAGACTCCATCATTACCATTCATTTTTCTCTCCCATCCTTTCCTCTTTATTTTACAAAAATCAATTGTCCATAAAATGTTTGAGGTCCATAAACCTCTTTCTGTGCAAGTATACTTAGCTAAATCTAATTCATAACAGATCTACACTGCACGTTTTTCTCTATTGTGGACCTAGAGAATTAGGATTCCTGATTAAAGTTCTAAGATACTATTACCTTTCTCATTGTTATATTATTATTTCATTAACAAATTATATACTATAGAATCTTAGCTATTGACGGGTACAAACCTGAAATGGGAAAATGAGAGAAGATGGGTCACTGCAATCTTGTCGGGCATTGCAGGGGACTCCCACATCACAGCATATGAGGCATTGGTCAGTAATGTGTTCCAGGATTTTCCTCGACAGAGTTTCCACCATCACAGGAAGTGCTGCATATAAGTTGCTATTTATCAAAAACACTAGATAAAGGGAATGCAACAACTTCAAAATTAACCAATGCTTCGCTCCAAATTGCATAATCAATAGTCTGCAGCTCATCATGAAACAAAAAGAGAAATGAAACACACAATTTGCATGAAGATATTACATAGGCTCATCACGATGCCCACCTCCAAAAAATAATATCTCGATTACAGAGTATGAAAATTCCCAGTTTTGACACAGACTAACAGCCGGAAATTCCATATTTTGGGTTGCAGGTAACAAATAGTCAAAAACTGACACACCACATCCCAAGGTCTTATATGAGCAATAATTTCCAGATACTTATTGTTGTTGATATCTCACATGGTTGAGATCCCAATACCATATTCCTTCCATGCTATCTGTTTAAACAGTTATTCAAGAACCGATAATGTCTGGGTACCATAGGGAACACAGAGATTTATCAGACCAAATCCAAAAACTGATATTGACAACTATTCCCTATAATTATACAAATCTATATTCAGCTACACCAAGAATATATTATTCAAAGTACATAATGACAAATACACTCGTGCCATTAGGGAATAAAAAAAAACACAAGAAATAAGTAATAAAATCTGACTAGCCAAATACAAATCTCAGTGTTAGGAGCAAATAATGCATGCCCGTGCATGCATCAAAACTGGGCTTTAGACATCATTGCATCAAACCCATATTCATCAAAATAAGTGAAACACATGTAAATGGGAACTAAATGAAATGAACTTTTATTTAAAGAACAAAGAAACAATAAGCCAAAAATAGAAGCTAACCAGCAAAGACTCCTTTGGAAAGATCAATCAAATCTCTAAGAGCAAAAAAGTCATTGCTTTCAAGAAGATATCTCCTGCTTCCAAGTCCTCTATTGATAGATCTCCAAAATGGGCAGCGAACATATGGAAGCATTGTACTTATCTTTTTTCTGATACTCATAACATGAAGTAATGCAGGGACCTTTGACAAAAGGAAGGGATTAACGGCAGTGACACAAAGCATAGGCTGCAGGAGAAATTTCATCAATAAAACGCAAAGTGAATGGTAAGAATAACTTAAAAATAAAGAAAGCGAAAAAGGATGGGAAGGAAACAAATATCATGCATCTAGTGTATTGATTGATGAACAACCACAACTAAGTAATAACACATATCGTAGATGAACAGCACAAATATTTCCATGTCCAATCCCTAAGTTATGCACTATTTTCGACTTTGAACAGTTCTTGGGAACTCCTGGAAGGAAATTGGATCCAAATCCAAGTCAATGACAGCTAACACTGAAGAGAAAATATTAAAAGGCCAATTAAGCAACAACACTAACCAAGAAAAGCCATGAAATTTTAATAAACATGTAACGAACCAATAAGATATTAACACACATCAACATGCATAAGTGTATTTATTTTGCAACACTTCACAATCTATGTGCCCAATGCTAATTGTAAATGCAAATAAACAGCATTCATTCAAACTAGCAATCCCTACAACTACACAATCTATGCACCCAAATTCTTCATAGGGTGTTAAACTAGGTTGATGACCTCTCCGTAACTCAGGGTGATTTACTAGTCTTCTTATGAGCAATTGCAGTATTTTAATTTTTGTTGGATTCCACAAATTTTGTAATTGTATTACACAGTCCTATTCATTCAATTCAGAGATTCTCAGACCTTTTTCTCACTTTCTATAGTTTTCCCTTACTTTCTCAAACCACGCAAGTTTTCAAATATATTATGAAACATCATAAAAGGAAAACAATATTATTATAAAAGACAAACATTAGTATTAAATTTACCTGTTCATGTATAGAATCCAGATAGGATTTTGCCATCTGGGAAACAGGATAATAAGTGAAATCCCAATGATGTAAAACCCTGGCTGGCAAGACTGCAGTCTCATTTGTGTGGCAAGAAGAGCAAAACAACTGGCCAGTGTATTCACAAAGTCGAGGCTTCCCCCATCCAAATGTCTGTACAAAATCCCAAATCAAAGTTTTTCCATCATCAAAATGCTTTCGGCATCCAGCACAGGTGTGATGTTGTGCTTCTAACAACTGTTTCACAGATTTGTTTGGTGGAATTTCAACTATAAGTGAAATTGTCTTCCCTAAATTGGAAATGTTTTGAATATTTTCCCCTCTTGTAAAAGAAGACTGAGACACTAGTCCATTTGACACATGTGAAATAGGATATGAATCTTGATCAGACAAAAACCAATTCAATGCTCTTGGAGGACTTAAAGAGAACCTGAAACTGAGAATAGACTGTAAACACTCTTGAATGAGAACACTTCTCTTTACAATAATATCAGGAGATGCACTTCTAAATATCTGGGTTTCCTTTTCAACAGAAGCCCATGGCAAAGGTAATTTCCAGCCTTGTTCATTGAATAAGGTTTTCATGCAACGATAGAGAGTAAGGAAATCACGATATCTCCTTTCAACCTCCCACTGATCCTTGCCACTCCACACCTTTATTTTATACACCGTGTATTCCTTCACCCCAACTAATCTTTCACTGAAAGAAACATCACCTTTCTTCTGCCTTGCACCTACCACTTCAATCCTATCTATTCTTCTTGGGCGCTGAACTAGCAGGTAAGCATCATCTGTACTAGAAGTAGAAGCAGTCAACCCACCATCTCTCGAAGGCATAGAAAATTGACGATCAGCCAATCTGTTACCCATGGAAAGCCTGGCCCCAGGAGAATCCACAGATTCCAGTAAAATTTCTTCCATTTCCTGAACAACCTCGTCATAGAATTCATTTAGCTCAAAGTCTTCTATCTGCAATATTAAGTGAAACATTTAATCCAATACCACAATGTCCACTAAGTAAAGGAGCAGCCAAAAATGAGTTGCTTCAAACCTCAAGTCTATAACGGCATTTCTCAACAGTAAAAATAAGAAAATGAGAATGCTAGTTTAATTGAGTCATACATCCAATCTTTCAAAATTCAAAAAAAAAAATAATAATAATTTTAGATGTCTGGCTCTTTTTTTGGTTACAAGATGCCAGGCTCTTTTTTTCTTTTTTTGTTTCAAGATGCCAGCTCTAGTTTCAATTGAATACATCTTACAGAATTAGTAGTAAATAATTTCATTACTCAGCCAAAATAATCTTCCTGAAAATTATGCATATTTAGTTAATACAGAGTAAGAAATGTCAACCCAATGGGTTTACACAATGTTCTAATCACAGATTACACCACTTGATGCAGCCACTACATCTTGGTTATGGCAGCTAACACAACTACATCACACCGTGCTTGTGTCCCATATTGGCCCACAATAGCCATAAATCAACTATGACCACAATTTAAACTATGGGTTTACATAGTAATTAAAATTTCACAAAATTCCAGTAGCCAATAATAACTAAAGATGGCTGAATTGAAAACGATAAGTTGAAAGACAATGGAATGCACTTCTCACCATGGATACCACAGGACGTTCTTCAAAGAGATCTGTTGAAGTGGAAGAGCTCTCTAATGTTTTCCTCGTTCCACTGTCCAACGGTGGCGCAGATTTTTCTGGACTCTCAAATGATTTTGCATCAACATTCCCAAGATGTAATGCTTTCCTCATTCCACTGTCCAAAGGTGGCACAGCTTGTTCAAGACTCTCAGATGATTTTGCAATAACATTCCCAGGACAGTTGGATGGATTGGAAGAAGTTTCATCAATTCGGCTATCATTATTGCGATCAAGCTTGAACATAGAATCATCCACCTCTAACTTTACACACTGAGCATCACTAATAGCAATAGCTTCTATACTGTTGACATTGACATTCCCCTTTTCCATGCTACCACCACCACTCACATTCAAACTCGTATTCCGAGTAGCTTCTTCCGCCACAAGATCCAAATCAACTTCATCCACGTTGGCAACAGAAGCAGTTTTAGAACAACTAACCAAATCATCAGACCCTTGAACATGCTTTTCGAAACTGTTCCCAAAATCAATTGAGGTAGAACTTTCTCCTAGGTTAGCAAGCATATCAACTTCCCTATCCCTAACCTCTTCTATACCATCAGAACAACCAAGTTCTTTTGTTTCTTCAACCTCGTTAACTGTGACATTGTCCTTGTCATCTTTCGCTCCCTCCTTTTGACCAGAACCTGAATTCACTCCATCGTTCATTTTTCGCTGATTGCGAAACAGATCAGACACAACAGAAACGGGACCGTTTTGCAGCAAAAAATCATCCAAGTCCATGGAACCATAGGCCACGGAAGAATTCATAAACAAAGAGTTATCGTTTCTCACTTCCGGTTCCTCACGATAATGTATAATATTCGACAAAGACGTTTCGTTTCGACCATCATCATCACTACCGTAGTTATACATAGAATCATCACCCTCTGAGAACTCTTCTTCTTCGTCATCTTCCTCTTCCTCTTCTCCTTCTTCTTCTTCTTCTCGTTTTTCCTCTTTTACACCACCTTCTCCAACGTTCACCTCGGACTCTTCATTCCGGTTAAACGCGATGGACTCCGACGAATCGAGCGCGGTGATGGCGAGTTCGTCGCTGCAATCACCGTAGAACTCCAAACCACTGGAACCGTACCTGAAGGTCCGGCTCCGGTTCCGATTGGGCTCCGGCTGCGCTCCTTTCCCCAAACTGAAATTATCGAAATCCAAATCGGAGAAATCGTGGAAGAGCGTGACGGCGCTGCAGAGGCTCATGCTGGTGCTGGGCGTTCCCATGACGGAGTTGGCGCTGCAGTAGCGCTCGAACTCGGAATCGCCGCCGCACGAGGAGTGGCGCGAGGCGGCGGCGTCCGATCGGCGGACGCGTAGCGGAGGGAAGGAATCGCATGGATCCGGAGAACCGAGTTCGCCTCGGCCGTTCATTAGGGCGCGAATTGCGATTGATTATGATCGAAGATGCGAAGGTGTTGGAAGGTTCTGGAAGGAAGCGCAGAGAGGTTGATAGAGGCTTCCCTGAGACACAGGGGAAGGCGATGATGCAATTGAAGGGGGAAATGGAAAAAAGATGAAAATGAGAATCGGGATTTTGTTTTTTTGTCTTTAAATAATAATAAGAAATTAAGATAGTATTGTGGTGTGAGACCTTAGAAAAGTAGATTCAAAACAAAATCAAAATCAAATCTACCGGTATCATTTATGTGCAAGTCGTTTTACCTACCATTCCACCATCTATAACCTATCAATCAATCTACTCCCATCCCATGCTCGTCTCTCTAAAATAGGGAATCTGGCAATCATCATGCACATAGATACAGATACGAGCTTCAGCTACCAACTTAATTTGTAATTTTATTTTATATTATTAAAATATTTCAACAATAACAAAAAAAATTGAATTTAAGTGTATCATTCATTTTTGCAACTGAATATTTATTATGTGATTAGAATTTATAATAAATTATATATATAACTGTTCTTACCGGAAATCTGTTGTAGAGCTGATCTGCCGGGTAAGATTGGTGAGTCTCCTTCGCCGGGTATATTGGTGCTCCGAGATGGGGGAGATACCTGCAAAAGAGACTCTGATGCTAAAGTTAGGGTTTGTATGAGTATGAGTCTCGTATATATAATGCACATACCTTTGTGTGAGTTAGGGTTGTCTTGGGCCTGAGATAAGATATGATATGATACGATATCATATAATATGATATGATCACGTTGTGACATAATATGGTATAATTGGAGAACGGTTTTAGCCTGGGACGAGATCTCCGGGCTCGGGCGTGATCTGTCCGGATTCCGGGCTGACGTTGTTCAACGCGTGCCCGGGATGACCCTTATAATGTCAACCCGGGCTGAGAGCCCGGGTGCGAAATGCGGTCAGTACACTAGCCCCCCGAGCTCCGAAGGCCGTAGGCCGAGGAGTTAAGGTCGGGCTCGTGAGAGGAGAGGTGGCTTTGCGCGTACGCTAGCTGGAGGCTCGCCACGTGTCGCGACTGTTCATGCTCTGGAGACGTTTGATTGACGTATTGGGGGCAGTGACGGTTTTTTAATGATGGTTTGGTAATAAGTGTGTCGTCGGGTGTGCCTTTCAACTGACACGTGTCGCGTCGGTTTTGAATTTCGGGGAGAGTTTTAGCCTTTCTCTCTTCTCGCGCCTCTTCCCTGTCTTTCTTCTGACTTCTCGAGTACGAGAGCTTTTCTTGGTTCCCTTTACCTCCTTTCTCTTTTGCGCTTCCGTCGCCGTCGTCGTTTCCGGTAGTCCCTTCTTTGTTAGGGTTGTTTTCTGAGGAGGAGTACCAGGTACTTCCTTTTTATTTGCTTCTTCTCTTTTTTCATGGCCGGTGGAAGTGGTGCCGGATCCTCTGCGTCTGCCAGGGGCAAGGCGCGTGGCAAGGTGGTGGCCGCCGGAAGGGTCACTGTTGAGAAGAAAGATTCGCCGCCACCTAGGGGCCCAGAGCCGGGCGTTCCTGGTTACGACTGGGTCAAACGCGAGGTGGCCGAGGCTCAGAGCATTTTTCGCTCTTTCCTCGAAGTGAATGCGTTTCGGAGAGCGCATAGGGTTTGCGATTCCTCCATTTCCCACATGATTCGGCTTGAGCCCTGTCAGGCTGATGAGGGCGTGTATATGGGGAGGTCTACTGATCCCCCTCATTTCTATGTATATCAATGCTTTTTTAGGGATTTGGGTGTCTGTCTTCCTTTTACCCAGTTTGAGTGCGATTTTTTGAATTTCATCAACGCGGCTCCTTGCCAGTTGCATCCCAATAGTTGGGGTTTTTTGAGGGCTTTTCAGGTCCTGTGTACAGTTCTAGGTATAGAGGTGTCTCTTCGCGTCTTTCTTCATTTTTATCAGTTGAAGATGGGCGTTCCGCCTTATGGCATTTTGTCCCTGAGCGGGAGTAGGGATGGGGGCTTGTTTACTCCCTACTCCCAATCGTACAAAAATTTCAAGCAGGAGTTTTTCCGGGTCGCCCTTGTGGGTGTTGACCCTTTGGAAGACGAGGTGTTCTACTTCGGCGGTTTGCCGAGGTTTCCATTTTATTGGTGTCCCAAGCCGTCCCGGTTTCACGGTTTGGGGGATCTGAAGGTGACGGCCGCCATCAAGAATCTTGCCGCGCTCCCTCGTCCGTTGGATTGCAAGCTCGTCTTGTCGCTTGCGAATTCGCCTTTCAGGGAGAGGGGCCTAGAGAGTGAGTATTATGTGCTTTGGTAGGTTTTTAGGACTTGTGTAGTTACCGGTTATTGATGTGTTTCTGTTTCTTTTCTGCAGGCATTATGGGCAGAAACTTGTGGCGTCAGCTTAAACACCGCTACAATGTTTCCAAATCGAGGTTCCCGAGCCTCCGGAGGAGGATGCTGTCTCCCTAAAGGCCCACCGGAAGAGGAAGAGGGGGAAGGAGGAGGTCGGGGGACCTCCGCTTCTCACGATGTCGAGGAGGCGACCTCCCGGGCTGTGGACGCTGTGGATCTCACCGACAGCCCTCTAGCCAAGGAAGCCTCGCTAGTGGCTACGGCGGAGGTGGTAAAGGGTGTCGGGCTTACTGCACCGGACGCCGAGGTGAGTAGCTTATCATATGCACGCGTTTTCCATGTTAATTCCCCGTCTTTGTTTCTTGAGGCGTTATGGATCCCTTTGCAGGACGGGGTTGGCGTTGCTGAGGTGGAGGTCTGCGTGTCTGAGCAGACCGTCCGAGTTGCCAAGTTGGTAAGTATTGTCTTCTCGGACTTTTCACTCTGGCTTTTTCAGGGACATGCGAGACAACAAGAGCTTTACTGATGACTTTTTCTCGAACAAAAAAGATATCAAGTTCCATATGCTTAGATCTTGAGTGTAGAATTGGATTGTGAGACAGTGCTACTGTGCTTTGATTATCACAAAGCACTATAGGAGTGTTTAGGTGAACTTTCAGTTCCTTTAGAAGGGATTGGATCCACAAGACCTCAGTTACTGCTTGAGCTAAAGCTCGATATTCAGCTTCAGTGCTTGACCTTGCAACAAGCAACTGTTTCTTGGACCACCAAGACACCATATTAGGACCAAGGTAAATGCAGGCTGCCGAAGTAGATCCCCTATCATTGGGATCAACTGCCCAATCAGCATCAGTAAAGGCTGTAAGATTGAAGGAAGAAGTTGAGCGAGCAGGAGCAAACACCAAACCATGTTTAATAGTTCCTTTGAGATACCTAAGTATCCTTTTAACCACTTTCCAATGTTCCTCCATTGGAGAGCACATGAACTGACTCACCTTATTAACACTAAAAGCAATCTCAGGTCGTGTAATTGTGGCATATTGCAATGCACCAACTACAGACCTATACAAAGTAGGATCATCAAACAAGGTCCCCGCTTTAGCAAGTTGCTGACCACCAATCATAGGAGTGGATATTCCCTTAGAGTCTTCCATTTTTACCTTGGTAAGAAGATCAAAAATGTATTTGTGTTGAGATAACAGTAACCGCCCGTCAGAGATTGGCTTGACTTCAATACCCAAGAAGTAGTCCAAGGTACCAAGATCTTTGAGAGAAAAAATTTCATTGAGTTGATCAATTAATTTTTGCAATAAGGAGGGAGAATTGCCAGTGAGGATAATGTTGTCCACGTAAACAAGCATGTAGACAGTAGCAGTTGGAGTAGAGAAAATAAACAAGCTAGGATCACACTTGCTTTTGTGGAACCCAAGCTTCAGCAAGACAGATGTTAATCTGTCAAACCAAGAACTCTGATCAGAGGAAGGGAATTGGATTCTAAGGAGCCAAAACTCGAAGAAATGGCAGGTGGTATTGTGGTAAAGGAAGATGGGTTGTGAGAACAAACAAGAGAGGGAAGTGTAGAAACAGAGGTGGCAGGGATAGAAGCTTGGGATTTTGTAATGAAAAGATCATTGTAGGGAAATC